AATGGCACAGCTTTGGAACAGCTCCAGAGACTGCTGGATCTTCCCCTCCAAACGCAGGATCAGAGCTGCACAGACACAAAAGCACATTATAGCAAACAGCTGTTACTGCAGAGTTAGAAATGGGTACCACAAGACCTTGCATGAACCCTTGTTTCACATCATACACCAGACTCAGTTAACATGAACAGAAGCTGATAACATTAGAAGGCTCCAACACCGACCTTGGACATACACAGCATATTCACACATGCCCTGAGTTTCCTGGAGTTGCTCTTTGATGATGGCCTGATGAGACAGGAAATTAATTAAACCTTATGAAGGGAAAAAGTAATATAAAATACGAGTGTAACTCATCCTTCTCTTTTACAACAAGCTGGCGGAGCTGAAAAAGGCAGACGCCACCTTGTATACAGCCTACCTTGCAGGTCTCATAGTCTTTGCGTATGTAGTGCAGATGAATGAGCCAGTTCCTCCTCTCCAGTATAGGAAGCTCTGGAGCTGAAAAAGAAGAACCCAGACATATGAACACTGAGTGATCAATACTGTTTTACAAGCTACAGATTATGACGGAGCCTAGTGCCTCAGCCTGCTGGAGCAAAACTGATTCATTTTAAGCTCTTTGCAGAAGTCTAAATAGGGAATTAACTGTGCATAATAAACTAGTCATACATGCCAATGCTCTTCACACAGAGCCTAAAGCCTCAAGACACCCATTAACCTTTTGGAAGTGTTGCCTAAAAAGCCATTAAAATAGTGAGGAAATTCTGTTTAAGGATCTGTGCAGCTTTTGCCGCAAAGGCTGCATTTATAGTAGTTTCATCTTAAACATCAAGCATAGCTTAAAAAAAGGAAAGGGTTACTTAGCCCAGGGTTCAAACTAAGTATCACAGTACTTAGTTCACACATAATCCAAAGTAGTCTGACATGAAAAAGGACAAGCATGTTTTACTGGCTGCTTTTGTCTGACAGAAGGCATATTTTTCTGTCTCTCTGATAAGGAACACTGCTGTTGTGCTCCCTCCTCACTGCTGGAGACCATGTAAAGCTCCCCACTCCCAAACCCAACAGGCACCTCAACAAAGGAAGGCTCCACAGTGAGAGGCTGCATCTGCATCTTACTTAGCTTGCTCACAAGGCTGCTAGCAAAATCTGATTTCAAGCAGTTCTATTCCTGGACAGACTTTTCTCTCTGAGCTGTAATCCTCTTCAAGGCTAAAAGGAAGCCGTGGAAGAAAACGCAGCCAATCAGCACCACCCACAGGATAAAGGAGAGAACAGCAATCAAGGACATAGAAAAGCCTGCACTCTTTTTCTGATTACTTCTCTGTACTCTGCTCTGCCTGAGATATGTACAGTTTGTGAGTTCAAACCACGCCATGAGGGAAGACTGACTGAGGGGAGGGGGAGAACTACTGAGAACTTGGGCTGAAGTTCTGGGCGGCTTCTGTCTGTGGCTAGAAGGCCAGACCCCCAAAAACTCCAGGATGAACACAGAAACTGTCCAGAAATCTGTTTTTCAAGAGCTGATTCTGCAGTGCGAAAACTTTGTCACGGGAACAGAAAGTGTGGATGTGAATTTATAGGGTGTTAGATTGGAAGAAGAGGGGTTTCAGGCATGTTCCTCCCCCCAAAGTTTAGTTATAACATAACTACATTAAGGAAAAAAACTAAGTTTTGTGAAACTAAACTACGGCTGTATTCCTCCCTCTCTAAACACCCATAATGACAGAGTGTTAAAATTAGTCAATTAATTGCATGATGTGAAGCATCTAACTTGATAAAATATCCCTGCACAGCTACTTTCTAAAAATGTTCAACAGAGAAGTGAATCCTGTAGCGCTGTGCTTAATCAGGAAATACGTAGAGGAATGGACAGGTCCAGGTACAAACCTTTTTTGGGACGCGGTTTCTTAGTAGGGTCAGTGGCCACCGGAAGTGGAGCATCCTAAAACAAATAACCAACCACACAAATAAATACACAAATATTATTGATTTAAAAAACTTCGGCAACGTTTTAATAACCTTATGGAATTAACTCTTATTAATATAAAAGAGTCGTAACCAGCTCCCAGCAATTCCAAACTAATTTCACATATAAAATCACCAAAAAATCAGCCCTGCGTGGACAGAATGAGGAGTACAATCAACTGTTTAAGATCATTAGGAGAGATAATGCAATTTAATTGCCATAAATGCAATTACTGACATAACTGGGGTTTACAGTAAGGCCTTATATGCTGTTTTGTGGCATATAAGAATGGCTATTTCAGTGTATTGGCGAATACTTAAACGTGTTTGATATTCGGAGCTAACCAGTTATCTCTCTTTAGTAAACACATTAGCTAACTAACCTAGCTAGCTTAGCTAGCGTTAACTCGTATGAATCCGGTTCAATAACATGTAAAACACGTAACCCGTTCACAAGTTAATGTTAGCTAGGTTAGCTAGTTTAACTTAAGCTACCACAAAAAAGAACAAGTAACCGAGTGCCGTTATTTAAGAAAGCCACACACAGGTGTAAACAGCAGCAGCAGGAGCAGCCTGGACTCTATAGACTCCTGCTGGTACAGGATTTAACGTTAAACCGCAGTTAGCAGTCATGTTAGCTAACGGCTCTACAGCTCTCCGCTGCGACCTAAACAGCCAACCATCAGGAGCACTGCAGACCTCTTATCCAGTACCCGGTCATACTCATTTCGTGATGTTATTCCGCTGAAAGGCGCCTCAGCAACACTAGCTAAACGTTTCTCACCGTTTTAACGGTCTCCTCGTCAGCCATCCCTGCTGGTAAGGATAAGACACTTCCGCTTTCTACACGCCTCCTTCAAACGCACAGCCGTTACCATAGCAACACTGCACAGCCTCTCTACCGCGGCAACACTAAAGAGACACTCCGGCCAAAATACAAAAATGTAATCATCGCTACATCTGTTGTAGACATGCATACTCCCCTCCTACAGTAGTCTCTGGGTGAGATTTTCTTGTTTACAGACTAGGAATACTTCCTGATGATGTATCTGGAAGGTCGACATTTATTTATCTATTTATTTATTTATTGCCTGAATTATACAAAAGTCTGACAACTAATTAAGGTCAGTGCTGTATCACTAAGGCTGGTTAGCACCACAGACCATTTATTAGCCTCTAGATCAGTGAGTCTCCTAGGGATGGATTCTATGACGCAATTGCGTAACGCTTTCTGGGTACTGTAGTGTGAGAACACTGATGGACGGAAACAAAAACACGATACAGAATCACGAATTCCGTCAAACCAGTGAGGCTGAAATGTGCAATGCTGCACTACAGAATATTACAAATAACACATGAAATGCTAACTTTAGGTCAGAGTGCCCATTTAAACTAACAGCATGGTATGGTAACATACTACCTACACAACGAATAGGAAGAGGTTTAGCCACCCGTCAACCTAGACATGAAACATGTACTGAAGAATTATGTACTGTTATGCATTTCAAATTTTGTCTCAAGTAAAAGTGAAAGTATGGAGCCAAAAACATACATACATACATACATACATACATACTCTAAACCGCTTATCCTTCTGGGTTGCGGTGGGGTGCTGGAGCCTATCCCAGCTGTCATTGGGCAGAAGGCAGGATACACCCTGGACAGGGTCGCCAGTCCATCGCAGGGCAGACAGACAGACATATACATTCACACACACACACACACATCTAGGGGCAATTTTAGCATGTCCAATCAGCCTGACTGCATGTCTTTGGACTGTGGGAGGAAACCCACGCAGACACGGGGAGAACATGCAAACTCCACACAGAAATGACCCTGGTCGCCCGGCCGGGAATCAAACCCAGGCCATTCTTACTGTGAGGCGACAGCACTACCCACTGCGCCACCATGCCGCCCGCCAAAAATATACTTGAGCTAAAGTGAGCAGTATGTACATTTAACTATACTGAAATGTGACTAATGGGTGGTACTGATACTTACATATGAATTAGCAGAGCTGTGGGCAGTTTTATTCACTGATATGAATTTGGTTGAATGTCTAAATAAAATAAAATAATAAAAACATCAAGTTACAATGCACAGCAACTTTAAAGATCGGCAGGATAAAAATATTCTGACCTTTGAAATGTACATTGCAAGTCTACATGAAAGCGTAAGTAATAGAAAGGTTTTTTCTGTTGGAAACGTAATTAAATAAGAGTACAAAAAATAAAAATAAAGAATAAAAAATCCAAAACTAATACTTAAGTACAATTACTCATGTATTTTCCACCTGTGTATATTACTACTACTGAATACTAATATTACTGAAAGTCTGAAATGTTCATTATTTATTTTATAAATCAGTTTTTAGCAATTTGACCACTTCACACACAGCAGCAGTTGATACACCTCCATGTTGTTGGCGAAGAATTTGATGTACCAAAACGCATTACAAAACGTTCCTCCTTTGAATTTCTGGACTCACATTTCTGGGTGTTTTGTTTCTAAAAACACAGAGAATACCACCAAGTTATATTAGCATTACTTAATCATGAAACTACTTATAGAAATTCATAAGGTTCCGACTACACAACAGCAGCTGATGTAGCCAGTGGCCCTCAGAAAACAAAGGAAGTTAGCTAGCATTAGCACTCAATTGAGAACACATTTCTCATATGGGAAATCATGATTTAATCTAAGGATGTAAGTCTTTACATTGTGCTATTAAAGATACAGTAACAATTTAATTTTAGTGATTAATTTAATCACGCTCTATTTGCTGCCCACGTTATATCAAATTCTCAAGAGGAGGCTTATTAACAGAGGCCTTTTCACACTTCATTACAAGTAGGATAGTCTTTCATGATTGCACACTGGTTAGTTCTAGGGCTACAGTTATATTAGCACTTTATAATAGGGTTTCTCAGATTTTAATCTTCTATCTAAATCAAAAACACAAAAAAAACACAGCCATAGGAGCCTCATTACAGAATGGTCCCTAATCACATTGTAATTAGGTCCATAGAAAAAGACCACCAGTCTAAGTCAATGGCTTATTAAAACAGGGTGGTGGAGTGTTTTGGTGTGTAGTTTTAATACAGGATCCCATGAACTGCAGAACAGAAAAGCTAACGTTTCCACTGACAAAGTAAATAAATCAACATAATAAAACATATTAGGAAATATATTTATCTTTATTGGAGCTACAAGAAATAACAGCCATGCACATTATTTATTTTATTCCAGATAATTGTACAAAATACATTTAGATAATAGGATTTATTATTAATAACCTTTTCATAGATAATTTTATGAGCTTAGTGTCAAAACAAGGTGATAATTTTTTTTTATCCAATAATTTGGATAAAATCTAAAATGTGTCATTACAAGATCTGACAGACACTTTTGCTGAAACTTAATCCTGAGGTTGTCTACAATGAAAAAGGGTGTCAGGAAAGAAGATAACATCCACACCAACATAAATCACACTTACACCACAATTTATAAAGTATGACTACATGTATACTTTCATTAGGATAAACATCACAGTGTACAAAATAGTGCTTCTAAGAATGTATGGACCTCTATATTTCCTTGCATTGTTAGGGCAACATGCATAAAGTATAGAGTAAAATCATGACTTTTCACATTTCCTGAACACAATGCACCAACGTCATTTACTCCTCAGCACTGTATCTGCCGATATTAGCTTATTATCAAATGTTTATCCACAGCACACTGTGCATGTGTACTATATGTAACTCAAATCATGTTTGTAGTATTTTTCCTCTAGCCAGGAGGACGAGGTCATCGGTTGCAATGAAGAGGCAAAGGAGGGACCCATAGTAGATCCAAAACTCCACTGTACAATTGCACCCTCAATTCTTTTAACAGAATAACACTCCTTAATCCTCAATTCAAAAGTCTATTAGTAATCCATTTTTCACTAATCAGTCATGGCTTGCTCATTTGTCAAAGCTAATTGGATTTCACACATTTTACACAAACCAACTCATTGTACAAAAGGGGCCTCACTTCAGTGCTGACACTCAGGAGAGAAGAGAAGCACAGTTCTTCAGCAGCAGAGGCTTGGCAATCTCCAGGAGGTCCAGGTTAGGGTCCAGGGACCTGCCCAAGCCTTCTAGTACCATGATGGCAAACACGACGGAGGCAAAGTTACTCTCCAGCTTCACCTGCAAAAAAGATAGGGCAATATCTACACGTGTCTGCTCAACAGCAACACACGCTCTAGATTAGAGTAACTTCACATAATCCCAGGCCACAACATATCATGTAGGACACCAAACGTGAAAAATGGAAAAAAATGCAGACATTCTGTTCTTTCTGAGATACCAAAAAACACATGAAAAAGGATTTAACTTAAAGATAGAAGATACACTTCTGTTCAAATGTTTGGAATCATTTGTCATATTGATAATTTATTTAATATTTAAATTTTTTATGAACTGCAAGAACATAATAATTGAAATTTATATTATAACTTTCAATATAATTTAGAATCATCTACAGCTCTGTTCATCATTCTGAACACATCTAAAATTTCTTTATCACAGCTTTCTACAAATGAGTTGAATCCTAAAGTTGTAGTATGTTACAGAGGAAGTCAACAACTTCTCAAAATTTCAGCAAAATTCAATCATTGAGATGCAAATAAAGTCATTCAGAGAGGTTTGATGTGAACGTTGCGTTGCAGAGGAACTTACTGACTCAGAATTCTTTACAGTGGCAGTGATAGGAACCAGGGGTCAGGATAAGCAAATATAGCCATTTTATGCAATATCTAAAATGACCAGCGAGACTACACGTGTTTCCTGAGTTCGTATATGCAATGTCAATAATCGTAAAGTAGTGCAAACCTTAAAAATAAAAAAGGTTTTCTTTACACTTTTTCCCCCCCATGTGCTTTCCCACCATGAATATATTTTTTTATGTTTTAGGCCAAAACTTTGCAAAAAATATTGGAAAACAATGTCTCAGGTAGCAGACAGCATATTTGTAAACATTCTGAGTAGTAACTTTCTGTGAGATAGATTTTAGAGGCACTAAAGGCTTCAGACATCTGGTTCCTATCACCACCATTGTGAACAAGTTTCTCTAGACTGGAACATTTCACATTAAACGATGACTAAATGACTCTGTTTACATCTTACTCACTGAATTACAGAGACACAGAAAATCACTCAAATTCCCCTTTAATCTAATTAATTTAAGCATGTATCTGCAAAAAATTGCTTTTTTTATAATGACAACAGTGATTCCAAACTTTTCAACATTAGTGTTTCTTGACACAAGACAAAACATTTTCAGCACATATCAGATCCCCTGTTTTTAAAAACCCCTGAGAACTAAGAGCTATTTTCTAACAAATGATTAATAAATGTAAAATACAGAAATTCTGACTGGAATTTGATGAATTTATTATGGTGAAGCTGATAATCTTATAAAGGCCAGCTTGGTACTGCTCAGTATGTGCATCAACAGCTCAGTGAAGAACTTCATATACCTTATGGCGAATGAGCAATCCAAAGACACGAGACAGCAGTTCTGCCACCTGAACCTTAACAGGATTAGAGAAGCAAAGCATGGATGAAATTTCAAGAGCTTACACTGCATCATGTGGTGAGCCAGTGAAGAAAATCAGAAGTGTATTTTTGCTGAGACAAGATATGTATGCTGGCGTGTACTAACTGCAGTACCTTCCCCAGAGACAAAGTGTCGCTGAGTGCGTGGTTCACAAGCTCAGCCATTTCCTTTTTGAAGCCTGGTACATCCTTACACTCGCTGGCCCTGGCATGGTTCAGAATCAGCTCTGCCACACGCTCCCCCTGATAGTACAAAACAGTCACGAAAAAGATTAGATGCAATACGAACTGTAACTAACCTACAGCACCAAATCTCTTGCATGAATCTGAATTGTAAGAATAAAATCACACAGGTTTGATGCGTTCAGGTGTTTCACACAGAACACCTCTTCACTTCAAAAACACACACACACACACACGTCATCTCAGTGTTTTGGCTTCTGATACCTGTTTTAGGACAACAGCAGTGAAGACAGCTCTGAGGTTGTGCAGATCTGTCTCACTGAGCTGGGCCACAATCCCAGCATCCAGTAGTACCAGCCGCAGAGGAGGAGGGGATGGCCTCATGCTGACCACCACTGTGTCCCACAGGTCCGTTAGTGTGGCCCTGTCCTGGGGCCCGGCCCCTTGACCACTCTGAACCAGGATGTTACCTGGATGGAGGTCTCCATGGACAAAGTTATCCACAAACACCTGAAAGTAAACACAAACAGACAAACAAGTGCAGGTAGACTCTTAATAAAATTATTTTTGGAGCCATAGAACAGGTCCCTTTAACTCTGGTACTAGAGGGCTGGTGTCCTGTGGCAGTGGCATAGCCTGAATTTTAGGTGAGCCTGGTTACAGGTTGGGGGAGGGGGGCAGGTTGGAAGCATTATGTCCCAGAGACATTGCTATTGTGAGGATGACAACCACCAACTAGTCTTATTCACTGTAGCTAACATAACCAGATAAACGTCAAACACAATACATGATTGCTGACCTCACATTTACCTGCCTAGTTACTGTAACAAACATCTATTGAAGGTCTATCTGCAGCAAAGGAGCATACAACCATGAGTATTGGTCAATTAACCACAGGTCTACCCTTTTATAGTGTTAGGTGTACATGTCTTGTGTGCATGGATGAATGGTTTTGCCATATATTTTTATGCTGCATATGCAACCACTGTCCACATTAACATTACTACTTAATTAGCTCACTGTGTTAGGAATGAGCACAGCTCATCTAAGTTCATACAATCTGCAGAAACAGTGGAGCAAAGCAACGCTGTGTCTGCATTTAAACAAAAAAAAACAAAAGACACTGATGCTTGCCTTATTACAAAATTGGTCTAAAACAATGACTGTAAGCAACTGATGGCAGCTAGCGACCATGTGCCATATTGCCATGGTGACTGCAGCTGCCAAAAAATGGTGATGATTAAAAGAGGTTTCTAGCCATCACTTTTGTTTAAAGTGGTAAAAGCCAAAACAAATTTCATTTTATAATATTATTATTGACTTATTTTTAGTTACAAAAAAAATCTACTTAAAGAGGGTCCCCCTTTGAAACTGATGTGTCTGAGAAGGAAAATCACCAAACTATGCTGGACACTGGCCCTTCAAGACCAGAGGTGAAGTGCCCTAATATGTAGTGTGCATCTCTGATATTTTTTTGTTTGCTACTCTCGTTACTAAATATATGGGCTCACGTAACAAAAGTAGGTTAAAGGTACTGTTGCCTGTCACTGCCTCAACTGTTTAGTCATGTTTCCCTCTTAAATCAAGGTTACAAAAAGATTCTTGGCTTGGACCTAGAGTTCAATTTAAAAAAATAGAACCATTACATTATGTAGAGATTGTTTAAACTTCTACACACTTCCATACTCCAATTACAAGAAATATTCTTTAAGGAACCATCCACTGAAAAGTTCTTTAAAAAAATGGCAGTGTTCTTCTATGGCAGGCTTCTTCAATTCCGGTCATGAAGGGCTGATGTCCAGCATAGTTTGGGGTCTTTCCTGCATAAACACACCCACTATTCCTGGCAATTAATAGTGAGTTGAACTAGGTGGGTTTAAGCAGGAAAATCACTAAACTGTGTTGGACTGGGTCTCCAGAACTGTAATAGAAAATCCCTGCCCTAAATGGTCAAAGTCATACAAGATTAGGTCAATACAATCAGACTGTAACAATGTTACTGATATTATAATTACTGACAGAGTACTTTATCTGTGTTTAATGGTATCAGAGTTCAAAAGAATGCTATGCACTACTTAAAGAGTGTTCACTGTATCAGATGAGACAGTTGACGAGACAGGCAAACTCTAAAAAAAACTAATGTTTTTGCCTCCCACCATTTTCAGCAGAGTGTCCACTCCCATCCGGGCGATTCTCTGCTTCGTGGCCACAGGCACCTCAGACTTGAGGTAGTTGGAAATGGGTTCACTTTCCTATAAAAAAGTACAAACCACTCTATTCAGATGAAAAAGAAAGGTGATATACTGGCAATCTCCTGGTGAATACCATTAACTGAAATTTACCACCTCGTATGTCTCCACCAGGACAGTCCTTGTGACAAATGGTCTGAGCGGTGTTGGAAACTTGACATATTTCAAGTCCTTGAAGTTATTCTTGAACCGTTCTATGTTCCTTGCTTCAAAGCGAAGGTCTATCTGCAACCAAGGCAAAAACTCAAAAGATGCAGTAGAAATGTCACTGAAATGTCATCGATTGTGTTTACATGCACACAAATAATACGATTGTTATCGGATTTCGGCTGTTTTCTGATTAATTAAGTGACCATGTAAACAGCATCCTCTGATTCTTTAAATCGGATTAAAGCAGTTATCAATTTCAAGAAATCCGATAAAGAGACCTGGATTCAGTAATCAGTAAGCTCAGTAATCGAGTTTTTCAGCACATGTAGACCCTTACTCTGATTTCTTTTGTTTTCCCTAGGCTGCATATGTGCGCAAACAGAAGGTCGAGCTGTCCCAGCAAGCAGCATTTAATGCAACACCTGCAAAATGGCAACAAAACATTTTTGGAGTGATGCTGAAACTGACTACATGCTTGACGAAATTAAGAATTTGAATCTTCATCTTTTAAGTAATGTATATTCACATTTGGTGGTAAAGTGTTTCCAAGTTTTGAAAAAGCTGCATCACAAAGTTTAAATTTTAAGTCACATACTTCTCCTGCTGTGAGTTTATTTGGCAAGTTGCAAAGCAGAAATCCGATTATTGCCTGGCTCATGCAGAGCAGGTGTTTTCCCATTATCTGATTACCCAAGTGCACGTAAACATGTTGAACGAATTACTGTCAAAATCTGATTTTCTACGATTATGGGAATATTAAGTGTGTTTAAACGCACACATTGTTCCTATGACAAACTGACTTTTTATACTTGGCATTACCTGTTTGGTCATGAGCTTCTCAAATTCATCCACCACTTCAGGCAGGCTCAGCCACTTGAGACCAGGTAAGCAGCTGATGAGCACGCTCCCTGCCTTCATTAAAATCAGGTCTATTTCAACCTGCCTTCTGATGCCAGGATGAAGCACCTGCATGAAAAAGAGAAAAGCTGTGAAATAGCATAAACTAAATTATGGCCTAATGTACTATGGATATTAGACCTAATATAATACTGATATTCAAACTTGCAGGGATCACAAAATTAAGCAGCTGAAAAGCAAAACCTATGAAACATGAAAAATCCATAAAAACACGGTATCATTGATTATACACTCATAAAAATGATGTTTCTTCCAGGGTTCTTTATTAAAGAAAATGGTTCTATGTAAAACCATGAACACTGAAAGAACTCTAGGCATGAGTAAATTGTTCTTTGCATCGTTAAAATGTTCTTCAGATTAATGGAGAATGTGCTGTGGATGCCTCTGTATAGAGCCTTTTTGAATGGGGTTCTATATAGCACCAAAAAGAGTTCTTCTATTGTTATGATGTCAAGCCGGTGAGAAGAACCCTTTCTGGTGCTATGTAGAACCCTACATATAACCATATAAAATACATTCTCCATCAATCTGAAAAACCCTTCAACCATGCAAAGAACCATTTAATAATGCAACGGGTTCTTTGAGCGTTCATGGTTTTATACAGAACCATTTTCTTTACTAAAAAACCCTTGAAGAACTATCTTTTTAGGTGTGTATTATTAACTTAGGTTCACTGCTTCAAAAAGTTTTATTTGTATATGGAATATGTTAAATAGCAAACTGCTTGAAAACAGATTGAATAAAATGTTTAGCCCATTAGTCTAGCCCATGCATGTTTTGTCTGATCTTACTTTAATTGCCACAGGCATGAGACACTCCTCCTCTGTGTACTTTCTTGGAGTGTGTGGAAGTTCAGCAGAGCTCTCCTGTGTCTCTGAGGACTCCCCTTCTCCCTTTTCTGGCCCCCACACATGACCCCAAGCTCCACCGAGCCCTGGGATCTCCCAAGCTTCCAGCAGATCCTCTTTCTCAAGGCTGTCTAACAGCTCCTGGAAGGCCGGGTCCTCCACACTTGTGACTCGAGCCTTAGCCCGATACACCTGCGCCACACAGCCTGAGCCCACAGGCTCCTTACTGTCAAACACAAACAGCTGCCTCCAGCCCTCGCCAAAGGCCCGCTTCAGACACTGCTTAGTGTGTGCCCAGGAGTGGGGCTGCACTCTCACATGGAGTCGGGCAAAGCGGTCACAGAACTCCTGAGAAAAGATGTCCCGTCGCGTGCTGGCCCACTGACCAAGCTTGATGAATGTTGGACCTGAGGACTCTGTGACCCACAGCAGGGCATCAAGCCAACAGGAGGAACAGCGCTGGGACAGCAGAGTCAGGGGGTAGAGCAGCAAGAGGGGGCTGAATTTGAACAAGAGTATCATGGCACGGATGCTTAGTCGCAAGATGAATATGAGCCTGTGAACCTGCACTCTGACAACAGACTTCTTCTCTGTAGTCCTCTGTGGAAGTACTGCTTCTTGTGCTGAAGCATATGTGACGCTGCCCACCCCCCAACACAGCAGTGCCACTTTGGGGGTATGAGAGAGAACTGGACTCCTTTTGATGAAGAAAGTTCTTGGAGGAGCGATCCGAACTGACACAGAAACTCTGTGAACGGTGCACCTGAGGCTTTGGAAAATGCTCTTTGCACAAAATGCAGACATTTTGATGTAGCCTTGATATTTTTTAGAACTTAAGTATTAGTTGGTGGCATACCCTGGTACAGATTTCTCATTTGAACTACATTTAACCGGACTGCATTACATGAATCTACTAAATACACTGTGAAATTACACATTTGAGCCTCCTCAAGGTAAACTAGCACACCAATCTCTGGCTGTAGTTGTTCCACTCCTTACCGCACCAAAGGCTTTAAACGTAAAGACCTAGTATCACTAGCAGTAATCAAATCCTACAGATACATGAACACTGGCATTACATCATGCGCACTGAACTGCCAACACAAATTCTCATCCATGCAGAAAAAGTCCAGTCTGCTTTAAAAATGGCTACATTCAGCTAACTTAACTGATCCAACACAAACAGACGGCTGCTGCTATCAACGCATTCAACCCTTTCGTAAAAGATGACCACTAAAACTAAGCGATTAAATTATCTCTTTGAAAAACTGTCCTACTACTAAGATGAGTTTCATTTTGCACGACAGCAGCATTTTACTCCGTGTTTACATTCATTCATACTGGATGTGCAATTTGCCCGCAGTCTCCCGTTCTACCGTTAAATACGTCCGTGTAGATGCACACGGTGCAGTTGGTTCCGGAGACGAACGCGAGGACAGATATGTGTTGGATGCGTTTGGAGGCAAAAGAGCCTTTAGTTACGACGTAAAAACAGATTAACATGATGGACTAAAACTGTTAACGGTCTGACTCAAAGAGAGGGCTAGACTAAAGGCCAGAGCACAGCGAGCAAACCTTCTTCAATAAACACCAATATTATAATCGACAGTTGTCTTAAAGGGACATTCGACCGATTTTTCGAAATTCCTACACAATTAAATCGATGTAAACAAAGTAATTCAGAGTGGTTTGATAAGAAATTGCCTTCTAGAGAAACTTAAAGAGTCACGTTGGCGGTGACAGGAATCAGGAGCGTTAATGCCTATAAGCCATCTTACAGAAAGTTATTACTTTAAGGGGTGTATGCTTCTTGAAGCCAGGGTCATTGTTTTTAAAAATGGATTTGAAAAACATGATTGAGGGATAGGAACACACAGCGCATGTAAGGAAAGGTATCCATAAAATGTTTTTTTTTCACATTACTATTTTACTACTATCAACGTTACGTATAAAACTCAGGAGACACTAAGTAGCTAGGTATGTTCACTGGTGGTTTGGGCAGTAAATAATGTCTATATTTATGTTGTAGACATTGTGATCCCTGGTTCCTATCACCACCACTGTAAAGAAATCCCGAGTCTGTAGGTTTCTCTACAACGAACCATTTCACATCAAACCACTTTGACTATTTAGACTCTCAGTCACTGAATTATGAAAAATCGGTGACATCGTCCTTCTAGAACGTTGTGGATTAAAGCTGATAAGCCAAATGAACCACAGTGAATGGGGACAGTGCGCCGTTTGGGTGAAGAGGCCGCAAAATGTTCCAAGTCTCGTAGCTTTAGTGCACTATATAATGTAAGCTAGCTAGGTTAGCTAAGCTATGGAATAGGGAGTCCATTCAGAAATAGTGTGACGTTAGCTTTCCTGAAAATACCCATCCAAAATGTCTATAGTTTAATGGGTTATTTCTTAAGTACAATCCTAAAGAGATTTCTTCTATTTCAGTTCGCTGCGGGATGAGGAACGTTGGCTCGACCGTTGCCAGTGATTGCAGTGAAAGGGTCACCCAGCAAACGAGCATGTGAACGAAACCTGCCCCTCAATGGCGTTAATAACGTGACAGCTATAAAATAACATTATGAACAATATTCATTTACACATCTGACTACGGCACGGATTGACCACTTCAGACATTCGCTAGCCCTATTAAACTAGTGTTAACGTTAGCTGTTACATTAACGTTAGCCTGCAACCTAGCTAGTGTAATGTTTCCTTGGATTTCACTTTTTATAGCGTTGTTCTTGATATTAATTTGATTATAAATACCTTAATCTTTGTCGTCTTTGTGCTACAGTTCCACAGAAATAGTGATGTTATGCCGAATAACTTCATATGAGTGGAATTCATGTTTATAAACCCTAACTAGCTCAGGTTAGCTAATGGTGGCTACTTAGCCGCAGGTAGTTGTGCTGAAAAACTGAGAAATGAGGAAATAAAGCAATTCTCATTTAATTGAACTGAATCTGTTTTGTCTGTGTATTTTATTGAATGGTGTATGTACATGTTATGTATTTATCTTATTTGTAACAGTGACTATAATAAGATGTGTTAGTAATAAGGAATTTCCATTTCTAAGGAAAATACATGATTTGTACAATTGAAAGGGTTAATTATGGTGGAGTAAATTATTTGTTATTAATGAATTAATAACTATTTTAAAAATTTTATTACATTTATTTTATTTTATTTTTTTACAGCGATACCATGGGTGAAGTGTAATTCAGAAGGATCACAGCTCAACAGTGTTGCATCCTGGGGTAACAAATTCTCCAAAACTGCAATTACGCATCACCTCTGCACCAACAAACTTTGTAAGGCTTGTCAGAAGAAAGGCTCTGCTGTCATTACACTGCAAAGGTATGTGCCGACAGCTAAACATCACTGGAACACAGGAATGAGTCACTGAAAAATATAATTTACACAGTTTTCTCCTTACCACAGACACAGTCGATCAGCCAAGACACATTCAGTGCTTTTTTTTGCACTGGACCTATGAGCCTACTTTAGCTTAGTTGCTACATCACCTGTTGAGACCCACACTGCTGAGGTAGATGAGCAGCCTGAGTGCTGTACAGTGTAATGGTTATCACATTGTGTGTGCATGCAAAGTTTAACTTGGTGTTTAAGTGTCAAGAGTTAAAGGCACAGTGTGTAAGATTTAGGGGGGATATATTGGCAGAAATGGAATACAGTATACAAGCCATGTTTTTATTAGTGCATATACACCTGTAACCATGAATTGTTGTGTTGTCGTTAGTTTAGAATGAGCCTTTCATATCCATATATGGAGCAGGTCCTCTTTCAACAGGGGCCGCCATGTTTCTACAGTAGCCCAGATTGGACAAATCAGCAGCTTGAAGTGGCTTGAATTTGGTGGTGCTATAGCACCGGTTGGAAGATGTTGAAATAAGTAGAATCAGTGGTTGTTGTCAGTGCTGCCTAACCATTTTGTGTTGTGAGAGGTTTGAGAACCCAAATCTGATAAATGGGGATCATATTTATTTATACTTATTATTTAGCACAAGAAAAAGTGAAGGTGAATCTTTATCATCGAAGATGCAAAAACAAAATCGGGACAGGCAACGGCAGAAAACCTGAGGGCCACAGTTGGTTCTACTACACGCTTGGAATGGGAGGCATGAGGGAGGGGTATTCAGTCAGTTGCAGTCTGGAAACTCATTGCTAGATGCCACTAAATCTTACCCTCTGCACGCTTGTCAGTTTATTTAAACCTTTTCTCATAATTTTTCCTTTCCTAATTTTATCTGTTAACACATTTACTTTTTACTTTGTGGACATGATTTAGTTTAAATGTAGACATTTTTGACTTCCCCATATTTCCATTTCTATTAACTTAATTGATTGAGTTTGTTTGAGTAAAGTTTTAGTTTCTCTCTGCTTTTTCCACCTCTGATGAAGCATAGTGGTTGACCTGGGATGCTGCTGGCCTCTTTTTCTTCAAAAGCCCATGAGAATCTTGTTAGCATGCATGGCATAAACGCCATAAAATACAAGGTGATTTTAAATCAGAATCTGGACTGACTCTGTGACTGTCTGTAGGCAAAGACAGGGCTTTTTGTTTTTTACTGCAAGATCAAAAACCCAATAGGGACATCGCTGCACTCAATAGTTCCTCTTTATACTTTGTGCAGACCTTATATATACAGAAAGTTTGGCATAGACTTATGACACTGTGTAGGCTACTTTTTGTACAGGTCATACAAGCCCATCACACAACTGTATAGTGCTTTGCTGAACTGCTGCACGGGCTGCTGTTCAGCTGTCATTCAGAAGCCGGTATCCTTATTGTTGTTTTCCATCATGCAGACAAAAGATAGGCGGATAGTGAACAGATGTTGGAACCACATCCTCCTCCCACTGCAGTTGGGGTCTCTGTGAGCTGCCTTTCATAAAGTGCTGCTTGGTATGATTGTTCAAGTGATGGTCTTTGAAATGTAAACCTTAGATATGTAGCTTTGACAAGTGGGTAGTTCCTGTTGGCCTAAAAGTTTTTTTGTTTCTATGCTGATTACATTGTTTTTTAGTCAATCTTCAGAGAAAAGAACATTTTTAAGCTTGATATAGTTCGTTATGTTTCACTGCTATAAGTCCATCTTTAAAGCTACTTATTCTACACGGGTATTTGCATCAATTTGACCAGTGTTTGTCAAAGCAATGGAGGAGAATGGAAAAAGGCCAGACGTTTGCTTCTGGATGCAGGAGAATGTAATCCTGTACATTTCTGTCCACAAATCTCTGGGTGAAACCTGATCCCTCACTTCTTGTCTCCTCCTCTTTTGAACAGGAGCCAAGGGTTCCTTCACTTTGTGATTACTTACCCACTGGCATTACCCTCATGTCCAGCTTCACAGCCTCTGGCTCCACACTTCTGCAGGAGAAAGAACAGCAGGGCTTTCTCAGAGACGTGAACAATATGGAAACTCAAAATGAAGTAAAACACACCACCAATAGCAAGCCAAAACCTGAAGATGGTGTTGGGAAATAATTATGTAAGTGCTGAGACAAAGACATGCCCAAGCAATGTCTACGCTGGTAGTGCTGGTCTTGGAGTTGTGTGTGACTTTTGCAGAAGTCATGGACTGTAGGTGTTCTCTGATTCTCAGTGTACACATTAAGTGCCCATTCGGTGTCTTGTGCTCTCATGCAATAGCTGGGGTTTGAGGACAGAGACTTGTGTTCACTTGTTGCCTGTTATTTATGTGTTTAGTTGTGTTCTCCTGCTCCACTCGTCTAAAGCAGGACACTTCGTCTCCAAGACAACCATGCCTCCAATCACTCAGCCAGCTGCAGATTAGTTCAGCAGTAGGGGGTGGGGGGATGATGGGAAAGCAGAGAAGGAAGAGAGAGAGAGAGGGAGGGGGTCTTTGGAGAGAGGAGGGAGGGGTGGGAAAAGTCCAGTGAAAGAGAGTGAGGGAGAGAGGGAGAGAAGAAGGCAACAGCACACAGAGAGGGAGAGATAAAGTTGCCTGGGGCTGAGGTTTGTGGAGGGAGCACACAGACTCACTTTTCTTTCTTGTTCCCTTCTCAAACAAAGTTTTGAGGAAAAAGCCAACGGGAACCCGTCCGACTGGCTCAGAGAGAAGAAGAGGATTTAATCAAGGGAAGAGTGAGAGGAAGGAGCGAAAGGACAGAGGGAAGAAGAAGACGGACTAACTGCTCCAAGGGAAGTCATTGAGTGGATGCTGCCATACTCAGTATCAGGTTTCACAAAATGAGAAACCACCACAAGAGCGCTTCTGCAGGGCTCAACCAACCAAGCAAGGTACAGCTGTGTTTGTGTGTTACAGAGCGTGTGTGCGGTTCTTTGTGTTGGTTAACTTGGGGCAAGAATTCATGTGAAAATTTAAAAAAGCTGTGAAAAGTCACAATTTAAACTTTTTGTTAACCAGACCAGAATTCTTTAACTCTTGAACAGCCAGATCAACTGGTGACTTTAAACTTACAGAAAACAAAAAGTGTAAAAAGAGCAAGTTAGTAAGTAGCACTAACATTTACACTGTGGAGGAATAGTCAGTTTTGGATGGAACCTCCAGCAAAAAGTGACTTCAGATAGCAAACAGTCAGAAGAACCGGTGACTTTAAACTCGCAAAAATAAACAAAACGGGTCAAAAGAGAATGTTTGTGACCAGCTTTGCTTCACATTGTGGAAGAATGGTCAGTACTAGACAGACTGTCTTTCCTGGTCAGCCTGTGAAACAAGGCAGAGCACAATATGAGGTACTTTGGTGGAGAAGCCTGTGTTAAATGGGTGCATTCCAGTGCAGACAGGGAGAAAGAGCAGAGATAGAGAAGTGGGTAATTGGATAAGTGAGGCGAGTCATTTCAGCCCACAGAACAATGGTCTCTCTTCACTGCTGTACTGAAGGAGAGAGAGAGGAAAGAGCTTGTAAACAGAGCAGGCAGAAGACTGATAACTCACAGAACAAGCAGATCAAAATGTACCTGCCTATTCAATATCAGTATTTACTCACAGGCAGCTCTTAAGGCAGTTAAGAAAACAGTGACAGCTATCTTTGCTCATCAGTGTAGCATAAAAGTTACTCATAGTTCTTAGTGGCAAAACTTAATTGATGTACAATAGATGTATTTCAACAAGTGTGAATAGTATATTCATTAAATTTTTTTTCATCCTTTGCTGATTGAAGCCTCCAAACACTTGAGCACAAAACATGATTCATTGTAATTCAATCAGTTCCACTTACACAAAATCCAGTAATACTTCAAAGATGAAGAGTAGTGAGGGGCTTAATTCAATTTCTGAGCTGTTCAAGGTAATTCTGATCTCTGTCATGCAGTCACTGACTCATACATTCGTTGGCTTGAAATCCTGGCCTGAAGTTTTCAACCCTTTATTTACCAACTTAGCCTTTTCAGCATGTTTCAAGCTACCAGGTCTGTAATTACTGAACAATGACACATACAAACACAATCCATTACACTCCAGACCCCCAGATGGTAGCAAATGCTTCCAGGCAACAAAAGAAGACACTTGAGATAGCAGTACTGTTTGTACATAGTAATAAAAAACAGTTTGTACTGATGTGTTGTGGATGGCGGTCTGGGCCTCTTTGAGCCTGTTATCTGACCACAGGCCTGTTTGATAGGGTGGGTTTACACTCCCTCCAACTAGAGTATTACTCTAGAAGGCAGTATGAAGCCACTAAGAGTCAAATAAGAGTATCAGACGCCTCATCCTGTTTGGCTGACTCGATCTGGTTTTGGATTAAAAAGAAGGCCAACAATAAGCAAATCCGAGTATCGTGTCCTGGGCTACTGTCTCCACTACTGCAATCTTATTTAGACCTTTCTATCTGTGCTTGATTAGTTAGTAGTTTTTTTACACAGTGTTTGCGTGTGCCGTATGCATGAGTCACACATCTGTGCGTGCTTGTCTCTCTATCACTCTGTTTCATTGGTTGGATTTCATGTCACATCTGTGCCTCTTGTACCGAGCTCACGCACATGGACACGGTCACTGCACCTGGTCAGATGCTTGGTCATAATACCACAAAGCAGTGGAAGCCCATATTGTTACAGTAACTCAGCAGGGAGTCTTTACACTGGGGCTACCCCAGACTCTGAGCCTTCCTCCCAGCCAGGCCGCCGCTGTCCGTCTCCGTGGCGACAGCTCCAGAATGTGCCCCGTGGTGCTGTAGAGGGAGTTCTGGCCGCTCAGGATTCTGTGAGCTCTCAGGCTTTGTGTTGGAGTGGTTGGGAACGGAGCACAGATGCTGCGATTACTGCCCTCCCTGCCACCCCCTCTTTTCCTTCACACGCGCTCTTTCCTTCCCGTCCTTCTTCGGCCTCCCTCTCTCCCACCCCCTGCTGCCGCTGGAGCTGTGCTTGCAAGCTGCTGCTCTGACACAGACCCTGTCAAGGTTCAGTGCACTTTGTAGGGCAGTTTTTTTCCGCCGGGATGATGAGAGAGGTGGGGGTGGGGGGGGTTGTTATGTGTGAATTTAGTTATTTTAGCTTTTGGTTTAGGTTATTTTCTGTAGGTGAAATACTAGAAGTAAAAGTTCTCTATCAAAGACATACTGGGTTTGGTTCAGTCATGTAGAAGCAATCAGTGTCGTTTGGTTGTATTAAAGGAATGATTCTGTGAAAAATTAAGTTTGGAGTCGATGAGCTGAGACATTTTGAGACAATGGGGTTCTCCAACTTTTGCTTCTTAAATTTAGAACTGGAGGCTAATGTAGCTAATAAGCACTAGAAGTCAATAGTCACCCAAATCATTTCTGGAAAAAGTAAGATATTTTGTTAAAACTGAAAGAAGGAAGATTGCTGAGGAAAAAAAAACATTTTACATATATATAATATTTATATATATAAATACAGTGTCTGTGAGCTGCTCAAGTCACCCTGTTAAGCCTGATGTAGCACTTTAAAAGTCAGAGGCGGCGGGTCAGAAGTTTTTCTGACCATCTCATGCATCCTTATTAATGTCACATACATTATCAAAAAGAGGGTCCGGCTCAATGTTTAGGTCTAAAAGGCAAAATCAACATTATACTGATGTAGACATGATGACAACAATAGATCATTCACCTGCCTCAACAGAAGACATGTTCTTCACTAAGTTTTCACCCCGTTCTCTTTGAATACTCTTTCAACACACTCCCAGGCAGCAACTGGAGCACAACCGTTACAAAATGTTACAAAATGTTCTTCCACACGTTACATGCAATTACACATTTCCACCAGAGAGGCCTCCAAATCCACACACATCTTACATAGCGTAGCTTCGACATCATGAGTCTCAAAGTTTCAGAACTAAACTAAAAAAGCAGAATTTGGACTCCAAACATGTCTTGACTGATCAACTCCATCTGGGGTAAGTGGAAAATTGTGTGAATTAGATTTTTCGCTGGACCATTCCTCCAGCTGTAGAAAACAAAAAACTTTAAAATGGACTTTGTAAGTGCTTTTCTGAAGAATGAAACTCATAATTGCACTCCAACAATAGTGGTGGAGTAATGAACCAACAATGTTAAGCATAATTCTGTTGGACAAGTTCATGCTACGCCAAGCCAACAAACCTAAACACTACATTGATTGCCAAACCTGTTTGTAATTGTTCGCAGTGACTGTGGTCTTTTTCCCATTTTCAGAAACTTTAGCTTGTTTATTCTTTTTTTTAGAAATACTAAAGCTAGAGGCCAGCATTAGAATGTTTTTGTAGAACAGGCTATAGAGTTCATCTTTTGGGGTCCTTGCACTATCCCATCGCTTCTGTAGACAAGTATGGTCAAAGGGTTGACTATGCTAACCCCGTTTTGGGAGCACTAACGTGAGGAAAAATTCTCTCTGCCTCTTCTCTTGAACATATGGACCTTCTCTGATGTGGTGTGGACCACTGCAGCCCTCATCCATTAACTCTGGCTCTGTGGTGGAGCCCTGTGCTAAATTCCCTACCACAGTAGAGAGCCTTTGGGTTCACTGTGCAATGTGCATGCAAGATGTGTCTCTAATATTGGGGGCTGACTACAGTGACTACCCATGTAGATTTATCTGCAGAGCATGTTTGCAGTTGTTTATGGGATCTTGATGCGATGCATGATGTATTAATTGATTAATGTGACCTCCCTTTAGATTAAGCAGCGTAGATGGCGAATATATCCTGAAGCCATGTGCTTGCAGTAGTTTGGAGGATTTGGTCTTGATGGTTCAGTTCAATGCAGCGTTTGCAAAGTATGGAAGACCATCATGAAGTAGGCAGTGTCTACATCTATTTTCTTTTGAGAAAAATGAAGTCATAAATCTACAAAAGGCCCATCTGACTTCAATTAAGGTGGAAAAAACTAAGTATTCGATTCAGTCACTTCTTTCAAAAGTGCTCATGAGGGGCACAGAGGATTTTAGACTCCATCTGCCAAGCTTTATGTTTCATTTAGACTCACTTTATCACTCTGGCTGCTTGGTTTACATTCACTCTGGAAATGTTGATTTTGAGAGTGGGGGTGGGGGTCAGAGAGAGAGAGAGAAAGAGTGAGAGAGAGAAGGAGGAAAGCTATCTGTTGCTTGGTGGATCCTTGACTCCGGAAGAGCACTTTCCCAAGCTCTCGCCACGCTGGGCTCCTGTGGGAATACTGTAGGGAATTATAGGAATCTGTCTGTGCTGAGGCGCGCGGGGCTGGGAGCGGGAACGCCGGTGGGAATGGTCAGGCGGAACCGCAGAAGCGTGAGGGAAAACAGGAAGGGTAACTGGAGCCCTGGCACAGAGTCAGCTCACAGGGAAAGAGGGCAAGAGAAAGAAATCTTCCAGAGTACCCCAGTCTTACAGATAAAGCCCTGTGGATAAAGCCCTGATGATGTGCTCAGTGATTCGGTTACTGATCTAATCTAAGTAAAGTATTGTAAACCGTCATAAGAGCAATTACAAACTTGGCCTGAGATCAGCCTTTCCTTTCACAAATCAAGTTTGAATATGAGGAATGGGTTTTAGGCACATGGGGGCAAATTTCTTTATCTTCAGATTTTACTTACTTACTGCCTGGAAATCCTGAATGTAAACATGTGTAAATGACTGAGAATGAACCAGGTGTATCCAGCTTACAAAGAATAAGTATTAGATTCAACACAGCTCGCCACCAAAGTCTGTTCTCTACATGAATATCACAAGTCAAAATGAATGTGTTCATCAAAAGCTCAGTTTAATCTACCAGTAGGTATAAATCTAGACGTTTCCATGAGTTCTTTTCTCCTCTCTGGTGGAAAATAGGTCTAATTATGCAGAATGTTTGTGGGCATTTCATAGAAAT